ACCCAATATCGCTTTTTATAAGCAATAAATTAATAAAATTTTCTATGCCATTTACTCCAAAAAGATTTTCTGTATTTCATTTCAAAGGAGTATCGGTACAAAAATAAGGCCAGATACCGCCTTTTAAAAAAAAAAAAAAAAATCAAAAGTCCTAAACACTCTAACTGCTCTCATGGTCGTCCCCCACCTCCTCCTCATTGTCATCAACAGCATCAGATCCCCCCTCATCACTGTCGTCAGTGGGCACGAAAGGTGAGAAGTCAATATTAGGGAAAGCGGTAGAAACTTTCCCTCGGAGATCCTCGAAACCATCAATAAAAGCATCTGCAAGACCGTTCTCCAAGTCTTCCTCAGCACGGGAAACTCTCTCCCTAGCAGCCGTCAGCTTTGCCTCTGCAACAGCTGTCTCTCTGAGCATGGCCCTCCCATGGGCCTCTACAAGCTCAGCCTCCCTGAGCGCGCTCCTCTCGCGGACTGCCAAAAGCTCAGCCTCTAGCTTAGTGGCCCTCTCATGGGCTGCAACAAGCTCACCATCCCTGAGCGCGCTCCTCTCGCGGACTGCCAAAAGCTCAGCCTCTAGCTTAGTGGCCCTCTCATAGGCTGCAACAAGCTCACCATCCCTGAGCGCGCTCCTCTCGCGGACTGCCAAAAGCTCAGCCTCTAGCTTAGTGGCCCTCTCATAGGCTGCAACAAGCTCACCATCCCTGAGCGCGCTCCTCTCGCGGACTGCCAAAAGCTCAGCCTCTAGCTTAGTGGCCCTCTCATAGGCTGCAACAAGCTCACCATCCCTGAGCGCGCTCCTCTCGCGGACTGCCAAAAGCTCAGCCTCTAGCTTAGTGGCCCTCTCATAGGCTGCAACAAGCTCACCATCCCTGAGCGCGCTCCTCTCGCGGACTGCCAAAAGCTCAGCCTCTAGCTTAGTGGCCCTCTCATGGGCTGCAACAAGCTCACCATCCCTGAGCGCGCTCCTCTCGCGGACTGCCAAAAGCTCAGCCTCTAGCTTAGTGGCCCTCTCATGGGCTGCAGCAAGCTCACCATCCCTGAGCGCGTCCCTCTCGCGGGCCGCCAGAAGCTCAGACTCTAAATTAGAAAACCTTTCATGTGCTGCCACAAGCTCACCCTCCCGGAGCACGTCCCTCTCACGGGTCACCAAAAGCTCAGAATCAAGCTCGACAATCCTCTCCTGAGCGGTAATAAGCTCCCTCTGCACAAGGCTAAGATCCAGCTTCAGCTTGTCTTGATTATAGGCCCTCGAAAGCAAGCAGATGGAGGAAGTCGAAACCTAAAAAAAAAAAAAAGGAGTCAAAAACACAGGAAACGACTGGAGAAAGGAAAATAGCAGACCCTTACCTGAGCCAGACCTTCCAAATACGTGTTGACGATATTATCAGTGCCCGAAGCGCTAAGCTCAGAAACTTCTGGCCCAAACACAAACCTCCCAAGCCTTGCCCTGATAGCTGCTGGTCTCCCCATCATAGAACCAGCCAAAATCGGCACTTGGGTAGAAGTTCCTGAACAAGGAGGAGACAAAGGAGGGGTAGCACGAGGAGAGGATAAAGGTGGAACAGATGTGCCTGGCAAGGAAGATTCTGGAGCAGCAGTTGGAGAAGTTGCCAGTTGAGAAGGAGCCACCGTGGAAGCCACATGGGGGGCATCATCTGTCCTTATCACTTTGGAAGAAGAAGATTCTGGAGCAGCAGTTGGAAAAGTTGCCTGTTAAGAAGGAGCCACCGTGGAAGCCACATGGGGGGCATCATCTGTCCTTATCACTTTGGAAGAAGGAGGGCTCCTGCTAGAAAAACGGGACACCACCACCCTCCTACTTGCTGCAAGAGTAGAGAAGGGTTAGATAAAAAAAAAAGGGGGGGAGAGGAAACTAGCTCACCCTTTTTCTTCGAAGAGGAGCTGCCAGATTTCTGAGATGGAGCTACAGCTCTAGTATACTTGGGCAGGAGAACTCCCAAATCTTTACAAGGGCAAGCTTTGACAGCCTCCAATTTCCACTCCTGGTCCCGGGAAAGCACAGGTATATCTGCATGGAAAAAGTGAGCACACAC